AAGTATTCTAGAGGAGTACTGTGAGATCAGCAGTCTGTTGACCGAGGAGATCGTGAAGGTTCATCAGGAGATCTCTGCGGCTGTGGAGCACATTGACCCACTGGCAGAGTACCAACACTTCATCGACGCCTACAGGTGAGAACACAACCACTGACCATCATCAGTCAGACTGTGGTTACCATGGTAATAGCATGTGCCCCCCCCCCAGGTCTCCGGAGACCCCTGAGGCGGGCGTAGAGTTTGATGCGTCTTTGTTGGAGGAGACGGACAACCTGCCAGCCAATGAGATCCTCTGGAACACGCTGACGGCCGAAAGCCTGCAGGCCATGTGAGGTTTTACAAAATAAAACTCACCATACTGTTTCCTGTAGCCTTCCAAAATAAAAGTCTCCTTATAAAGGCGTCCCAGTATGATCCAGGAAAGTTTTTTATGAATCTCAGTGTGTCCGTCCGTCAACTTTATTTCTGTTAAAACTTTACACTTTTTATTTTTCCAGGTTGTCGTCGGCGACGGAAGAGCTGGCGCTGACTCAGCAGAATCTGCGGACAAAGGAAGCGTTGGCGGACGACCTCGACGCCAAAATCCAGACGAGTCAGCAGAGCACGGAGAGGAAGAGCGAGTGAGTCTGATGAATGAAATAACAACACAATCTCTCTCTGTCTCTGTGTTCTGACTGTCAGTCTGTCTCTCGCCATCAGCTGCGTCCTGCTGCTCAGTCAGAAACTCTCTCTTCTCGAGCTTCATCACGCCGTCCAATCGCTGCGCGGCTCCGAGGCCCGCCTCGCCTCCCAGAAGGCCCTGCTGGATGCCAAGATGGCTGCTGCGGCCGCCTCTCCACCCCCGCCGCCGCCCCCCCCCGCGCTGCCATACGAGGATGACGCCCGCTCTGTCGGATCCACCGTAAATATTCACTTAATGATTAATGATTGATTATTGATTTGTCTGAGGTGTGTAATAGAATAAAGGCACTGAGTGTGAGTGTGTGTCTGCAGGATAAGACGAAGGAGAAGAGCTCTCGCTTCGACACTCTGCGTCACTCTCTGGCCGGAATGATTCGCTCTCCTAAAGCCATGCTGGGGTCCTCCACCTCGGTGAGTCTGTTTGTCTGTCTCTGTCTTTCTGTCTGTACGATAATCGTCTCTTTGTGTTTGTGGTTTATCAACCTGGTGGTTAGAGCGCCACCTAGCAGGCCTCAGAGGCAGTAATTCACGTTAACACATGTTTATGTGAAGCTCTCCTTCCCGCTCTCTCTCTCTCTCTCTCTCTCTCTCTCTCTCTCTCTCGTCCTTACTGACGACCACCAGCCCAATGCCTCTGTGTGTATTTTATACATTTATGATGATAAACGAATTAGTGAATGACAGCTAACGTAAGCTAACGTAAGCTATCCTCCACACTAATAATAAGCAACTAAGTCAAAACAGTATATATTAGGACAAACAGCATTAAATAAACCAGTTTTACAGAAATATCCAACACAAACACAGAAATTAGCTCTTGGATTAGCTACTTTTGCTAACTGCTTTATTTTGTTCTCTGTCTCGTTCTCTGGTTGTGTCCTCAGGTGGAGTACGATGGTCTGACGGGTCACATTGAGTTCAACAGCAAAGGCCAGAGGACCAACTACACCCTGAAGATCCTGGAGAAACACCCCGGTGGCCATAAAGAGGTCAGAGGTTAAATTAGCATTCAGCGGAAAAGCATCTGAAAATCTTAAATTACTCCTCAAAATTAGCATTTGTAGTGTTTTTCAGTAGCAGGTCAGTTAACTTTACTGGGCAGAAGAGCACATAATGATGTTAAAAGGTTTTTCCCGGGTCGGTTAGGAGCCGCCGAGGTCCGAGTTTACGGAGAATCGATGTTGTCTTTTCCTTTAATGTTTACAGCCGCTGCCAGTCGGCACGTTTCTGTCCACCGGCTCCACAGTAAGCAGTTCTCTCATCGGTCCGTCGATACAATCTGTATAAACAGACTTTGCCATGTGGCTCCAGTGCTGCTTTATGACCTCAGATGATCATTAAAAGGTCAGAGGTCAACTGAGGTCACCCCGGGGTCAAATGGGCTCTCAGGGTTAAGTGTGAAGATTCTCACTTGATTTATACAATGACTTTAACAGAATATTTAATGAGCTCATGTTTTCTGTTAGCTAGAGGTTGTTCTCTCTAGCGCCACCTTCAGGCCACAATGTCTACAAACAAAGAGATAAAGATTTATTTTATGAAGATATTTAAATAAGACAATTATTATTGTGTTACAGTAATTATTGCTTTTCCACTGATAAAAACTGGTATTTGGAACAGTTTAAAAATGCTTATACACTGATAAACATTTATTCAACGGTTCTTTTGTGAAAACCTCTCCCATTATTATGATTCAATTAACAAAACAAATCCCGCGTGTTTTTTGTTTTTTACTGCCCCCTTGTCAGCCCGGCAATTTACTAAATAATTTTAGAAAATGTATCAACAGTATCTAACACCTTGAATTTAAAGTTTAATCTATTAAATAAACAATAAATATAGTCTTTATGGTAAAATAGGGATATTTTCTTTAAATAAGCAGTAATTGTTTGATTATTTACAGTTATAGATTTTTCACATTATTCTACATTAAACATGTAAATTCACAGGATATTTTTGTAATTGTATTACTATTAATATTATTATTCTTTAAAAAATAAACTCGTAAACTTACAGGAACAGTTAGGAAATGTTGGATTTTGGGGAGTAAACAAGGAACCAAAGAGCTAATAAGACAGATGGGGAAGGACATGATGGTGACGCCTGTAAATACAGAACGATGGGAGTCGGGGAAGGAGTGACTCCCGCTCTTTATCAGCGCGCTGTCCTATCAGCTGATAAATACACAGACAAACTAAAGGTCAGGAGGTCGGGGATGTGATAGGGTTGCTGTCAGGTCAGCAGATGCTTTAACGTACCACAGAACATATTTATGACCTTATTTAACCCGCTGAATGAGCCGGGAGGAGCCGGATCCTCCTCCATTGATTCCAGCATTGATTGTGCAGCGAGGATTGTTCCTCTTCCCGTCTGCCTCTCATAGCGCTCTGTTAGCACCGCTATCTGTTTGTTCCTCATATTTCACTTTGCATTTTTATTTCTCTTTGCCACCTCCATGTTTGTTTCAAGAGAAAATGTTGAATGCAGCGAGATTTAGAGCCACAGTGCTGACCCGCTGGTCCAAACGCAGTCCAACCCAAGGTCTTTAGGTTCAGGCTAGGTTCCCTCACTGATTCTTCCTGCCTTGTAAAGCACAGACGCAGGCACTGATTAATAATGCAGAGACCCCCTGGGCACAAAATCCTGGAGTCTGTCTCTGTAGGGATCCTTTCCATAACGCTGTCAGACACTTAGAGTAACAATCTGAGCCTGTCAGTGGCAGAAACAACAAGTTTGAGGATTGTCGGTGCAGAACTGCGCCTAAGAATCGCAGCCAATACTGGAACAATTCCAAACATTGTTGTCCTCAAACGTCAGTTAAAGTCCACCTGAAAGAGAAATCACAGAGCTGTTTGCTTCTGAATATTTACAGACTTCCAAAGAGCTGATAGAGCAATGAGAAGGAAACTCTGAATCTGTCCAGAAAGAAGTCTATTCAGTCTGAATGATTGTTAAAAATGATGGTATAAAAATATCAGGAAAACTCATCTCTGAGCTCCCTCCCTTCGTCTTTAACCTCCTCTAACTCCTCCTTGTCCTCCTCTGGACGGACAGATCGGTACATGGTACTCCAACAACACGCTGGCCATGAACTCCACGTCCCTGGACCTCAACGCGTCAGAGACGCTGGCTAACAAGACGCTAATCGTCACCACAATACTGGTAAATATCATACGAGTCCATAATGTTGGTGTTTGGTCTTCCTCCTCTCATCAGCTGCTGTGTTGTTGTTCCTCCTCCGACAGGAAAACCCGTACGTGATGCGGAGGTCCAACTACCAGGACTACCAGGGCAACGACCGGTACGAGGGCTTCTGCGTGGACATGCTGCGGGAGCTGGCGGACATCTTGAAGTTCTCCTTTAAGATCAAGCTGGTGGACGACGGGCAGTACGGAGCCCCGGAGCCCAACGGCAGCTGGACCGGCATGGTGGGAGAGCTGATCAACCGGGTGAGTGGAGGAGGAGGGCGACAGCACGCCAGCACGCCGACCACAGCTCGTCAGAAACGTAATCAGGTGTTAAAATGCTAATGCTAATGCTAATGCCTTCTGGGCCACACTGAAGGACCGCCTACTCAAGGACGTCCTGTAAGTGCACAGGAACCCTGTCTGTAATATCAGTGATGTGTTTGTGCTGTTTTACCTGCAGAGATCAGCAGCAGATGTTTGAACACACTGATGAGCTAGAAACCACAATATCACCAGACTCCCTTACAGAATTGCTCAGTTCTGAGAGTTATTGAGTGAATAGAAACTTCATAAACTCTGTGAAACGCTGCCTACGACACATTCGTTATTATCTGGGCCTCCTTGTAAATTCGGCAAACGTTGTCTCCATTCAATGATTTCTTCCTTTCTTTGACCTCCTGCAGGAACATTTTCATATTCTGATCTTAACTCCTAATTTAAGATTTCTGTGTAAATGACCTGCGTATAAATGATGAGTAATGTGTGTAATGGAGCATTATTGAGAGTTTAAAACAGATCTAACCGATAATAGTACATAAGGCTGTACGGTCTGCCCCAGTAATGGACACTGGCTGCCAGCCCTGAGTCGGAGCAGCCCTGTGGTGTTTGTTTGCGTACAGAGCGGGAAGTAAGATCTGATCACAAGATGCGTGTTGAAACCTAAACAGGCCCAAAGGCGTGTTTCTTTTTCCAGATATAAAACTCCCTTCGGACTGAACACAACGTCCTCGCTTCAGGTTCAAAACTCAAATTGGTCCTCAGAACAACAGACTGCAGCAGCACAAACACACACACAAACACACACAACACACACTCGCCGACACTTCTCCTTATCGTCTTTGCTTTCTCTCGCAGCTTTGTCGCAGGCAATTCTCTGCACAGCTTTAATTAGACTCAACTTGACTTAAAATGAGCCACTTTCCCTGAGAAAACAACTAACGGGGGAAATTGGGCTTCAGCTGAGCCACTTAATACCTCCTCAGCGTCTCCGTGTGTCTCCGCCGCTCGGGGCCGAGCAGCTTTCCAACGCTCCGCCACTCGTATAATTGGCCGACTCTCGTGTTGCAGTTAAGGATGCCGTCGCTGTCAGCGGCTCGGAGCCCACGTCTCTCGCAACCCCGCGCGCCTGCCCACACCGCCAGCTGTTGCCATAACAACTAACGCAGAGCGAGTGCAATCATGGCAGGGTGTTGATGTGTGTGTTCGCTGCGGCGTGCGGTCACACTTGAACTTGATGAATGCTGCAGAAACATTTCATCTGTTGTATATGATCCCTGTGATGTCGCTGCAGCGTTGGTGAAGCTGTGAAGCGTCGTTTACTGCGAAGGTTAACTTCTTCTTTCTTTGCATAAAGAGACTTTACTGACCACAGTTACTTACAGAACACAGACAAAAGAGATGAACTCTGAGGTCAGTCCTCTAATTGCTGGATCGGAGCATAGAAACAGAACCTATATACAGTATATATGTGTGTGTCTCTCTGTGTGTGTGTGTGTATGTGTGTAAGCCCATTTCCAGCAGTAAAATAAAAGATAAGATTAAAACTTAGCCTTGATAATAAAACTATCCCCATGTTGAGTCGTAATAATGAGATAAAAAGTTACAATTATGAAAGTTTAGTAAAAAAAGATGATCACATTATATTATTGTGTCATAAAACGTGTGTGTGTATTCTGCACTGCTGTTTAACACACATACATTACACATAATGCTGATGATTGCGTGTGTGTGTGTGTGTGTGTGTGTGTGTGTGTCAGAAACAGGGTCCAGCAGATGTGTTTGTTAAGGGGGTTGTTCATATTTCAGTGGCGCTGCAACTGAA